TGGCTCGGACCTTAAACTCCACGCACTGCGTGGAGTTTAAGGTTTCTGCGCACTGAAGCTTATTTGTTTTTCAACATGCTCAATCCCTTTGTAATTGCAAGAACGTTCTGAAGGATAGCACCTGAGTTTCGGGTTTCTTATAGATGGGACGCACCAAAAACCTTAAATTGCACGCGAAAACCTTGATTGTGAAAGTTGGCATGTACACACACACACACGGCCTGTAGCCAAACACGCCTACCTTTTTGAAGGGGACCTAGAAGGAAATCAGAATAAGGAAGCCCAGAAAAGGTAGGTTTTCTGGGCTACAGGTAAGTCCCAAACGCTGAGGTTTCAAGGAGCTAAGGTTGTCGGAGCCAACGATGCCTGGCTTCAAATACCCCCTACAATGTGCCTTCAAACCTTCATCTTGCAATCCGAAGGTTTAGGGTTCAGGGTTTAGGATCTAGGGTCTAGGGTTTAACTTATCTCCCAAACACCCCAAACTGGTTGAGGGCTTGGAGGGTAGGGGTTTAGGGTTTAAGGTTCAGGCTTTGTGAGGCTTTAAGGAATCTAGGGATTCGGGTTCTGGGGCTTTGGGGTTTTGGGTTGGGGGCGCACGGCTGGAGGGTTTAGGGTTTACGGTTTAGGGTTTAGGGTTTAGGGTTCAGGCTTCAGGGTTTAGGATTGGAGGGTTCAAGAGTTTTATGTGTTATGTTGAGTTTTGGTTGAGGGTTTGGAGCCAAAGGGTTGAGAGTGTTGGCATTTGAGGAGTACAGTAAACTCCGAAACGCTGGAACATCCTTATCCCTAAACCCTAACCCAGAGGGTCCAAGTACACAGTATTTGCGTACTCGGCCGATTCCTTGATAATTAAGGAATTCCGAATAACATGCTTGATGCCGTGCTCAGGCAATTTTGTTCAAGGGGCTGGCCACATACTCATATAAACCATCGTTTGTTGGAAGCACATCATCTTTCTGCGCGTCGACACAACCGCTGTTACTCTACATGAACACAACTGTATACGCAAGCTACAAAAGCTTCGAGTTCTGCTATAACCCCTTATTCAATTTTGAAGCGAGTTTCCAAATATCATTCACGAGGGACCCTGTGCATTGTGAACCATGGGCTTCCTATGGGAAGCTGCACAAGCACAGCTGCAAATGCACTTTCGTGCTGCGTACGTGTGGCTAATTTTCGTATCGCAGTGTTGTTGGTGTGAAATCGCATCCGACGGAGTTTTATGTTATTGGGGTTACAGCCTCAGAGGTTTCGGTTTAGCAACGCTCAGTGTAGATGAACGACGATCAGGCTTAGTTGCATAAAAGACTGCCTATAATGCTGGGTGTTAGCGCTATGAGCAAGTGCTAAGGTTTGGTGAAAAATCATGAAAATACTCTGGCAATTCTATGTTTAGGTTATTTAGGTTTTTCAGAGACGCAATATGATTGATTATAACTTGTTGTAGTTGTTATTGTGTATTACAAAACACAAGGAGATGCTCCATAATGTCATAGAATGCAAAATATTAATTAGAATGTGTACGATAATGCAGGGAAATGCTAGGGTTCGGTGCGATAATGACCTCAACAAATAAGAAACTGCGGAGGACATGCAGGTTTTGGCTCGGAAACCAATGAAACAATTGCTTTTAACAGAAAATCGAGGAGATTTTAGAGGAAATGCAGGTGATTAGGGAGAAAACCAGGGTTTTAGCTAGAAAACAAGGGCGCGTTCAAGGAAAATATATCGGTTTTCCAAAGAAATGACGAGAAAATCTCGCGTTACTTTCGCGTTACTTTGCGTGACTTTGGGGCCCGGTGCCGTGCATAGGAGATTCTGGGCGTTACTTTTGCGTTACTTTGCGTTAGTTTGGTGGGGCTGGCTTGTTGGCCAAGTTTTCTATGCAGGTGCCAACGCGGGTGTCTGGTGCGGGGCCTTTCTACCTGTGCAGCCATGGTTGCTGAAGAGAGGCAAGCATCAAAGGCCCCTCAATTTCAAGAATGCATAATTTTACAGCCACTTAGGCTATATGGTCTGCTCCTGGACTTGTACGATGTAAATAGCTAGAATATCTATATTTGTAAATAACTAAATAAATCTATGAGAGATAGACAGAAGAACAATCTCGCACATTAATTATCTTTAGCACATTAACTACAGGCCCCTTGCATCCTCATGGCACGAAGCCAGAGGATCAGGGGCGCCGACCCAAAGCGCCTGAAACCCCACGAGCCTGGACCGGCAACCCAACCTCCAGCATCGAATGATGCCTACCCTGATTTAAGTTTTGCACGGCTGCAGCAGAAAGGCCTTCCCCCAGTGGCTTTTGGCCCCCTGGAAACCCAAGCCGATACATGTAGGACACTACGCAGTATACGTAGTATATATATATATACTATAGGCTATATACATACTATGCACGTACACTATAACTTTTAATAGAGGGCTCCGGCTCAACATCTGGTGTACTTGTACTGATGGGTGACACGTTAAACCTTTAAAACTTACACATAGTTGTGCCAGGGGCGCTTATCGAGCCGATCGGGCCGATCCATCCAGGGTTGCCCTAGGATTATCATAATTCTGGTAATTATGGTACCAAGACTCGGTTTCCTCCGCAACCTTTCATGTCCTTAACATTCCCAAGACACACCAATTCCTCAATATTTAAGGACTCGGGGCGAACATTGTCTATGTATGTACTCGGGCCCCGAGTCCTCAAATATTGACAACATGGACCCTCTGGGTAAAACCCTAAACCCTCAACCCTAAACCCTAAACCCTAAACCCTAAACCCTAAACCCCAAAAGGTATATTCAAGGGACTCCCAGCTCCCATCATCCTAAAACCATGTTCCAACTTTCTGGAGTTTACGGTAGGGGTTTGGGGTTTGGGGTTTTGGGGTTTGGGGTTTAGGGTTTAGGGTTTAGGGTTCAGGGTTTAGGGTTTAGGGTTCAGGGTTTAGGGTTTAGGGTTTAGGGGTTTCTTTGGGTTTTGTCGCTCTCGCGCTGGTGTCTGACCTGTACTTTGCTCTCTGCGGCACCACACTTGGAGACTCATGGGCATTGAACACCCGAGCATTCAGGGTTTAGGGCTTAGGGTTTAGGTTGAGCTATAATCTATACTTAGAATCAACATATACCCCAAACAGGGGATGTAGCAGGCTTATAACAACAAATTGGGTTTAGGACTACCCACGAACCTCCAAGCAAGTACAGTCGGAGGCCTAAACCCTATGAACCCTAAACACCCCCAAGCCGAACACCATCAACCTGAACGCTGCCTCAACTCATGAGCTTCGTGAGCTTCATCTGAAATTACTTTTTCAGCGTCAACATATACCCTAAACGAGCTTCGTGAGCTTCATCTGAAATTACTTTTTCAGCGTCAACACATACCCTAAACCCTAAACCCTAAACCCTAAACCCCTGCACAAGACCCGGTCGAAATCTAAACTCACGGCTTGAGGGGGGGGGGGGGGGGTACCAGGAACCTCCAAGCAGATATTGCGTCCTGGACGAGTGGGGCTGTCGCGCTCTCTTGGGGTAGGGGTTTCCCTGCTCCTGCAAAGGGTGCTCTGCTCAATCCGGGCCCATTTAAGGACACCCACCACACATTTTTAACTCATGCACTGTTTTTTTGGAATAGTAGTACTGATATATCTATTGTAATGAACAGGTGAAGAATGAACGCTGTCAGTTTCATGAAATACAGCCAGAGTTACTCCAACCAAAAAAATAACGAGGTTGTACTGAATCCACTTGAGCCTGTAAGACCTACTGAAGGAAACCCTGATCAACAGCAGGCACCCTCAACGCCGGATCCTTACACAAAGAAACAAAGGGGACAAAACTCCTTAGTGCTCAGGGGCCCTCTTGACCCCACACGCACACCACAACTTGAAAAGCAGCATGAACCCTAAACCCTACACCCTGTCAAGCCTAAAACTGCTCTGAATCCGAAACCCTATAAATCCCTTGAATCTCCATAAGCCCTAAACACCCTAAGCCCTGCAAAACCTACACTGGACAAAAACCTTAAACTCCCCAAAACCCCATACCCCAAACCCTAAACCCTACAACTATGAGTCGCTTCAGCCACACTCGCGCAGGAGGCGGACTCATCCGCATGCCAGTGCATTGAATGCATGGCGGCAGGCACTGCCGTCTCTGGAGGAAGGGTTGGGTTTAGGGTTTAGGGGTCAGGGGTCAGGGGTTAGAGTTTAGGGTTTAGGGCTTAGGGTTTAGGGTGGGTTTGGGGTTTCGGGTTAGGGTCTAGGGCTAAACTCTTATCCTAAAAAAGTTAAGACACTTGTACGCAGCTCCCTTCAGCAGTAGCGCTGAGGGTTGTTTTAGGCCTTGGAGGGATGTAGGAATCCGATGCTGATTTAGTATGTTGGCGTCACACTCCCAAACCTTACCTGTAGCCAAAACACCTACCTTTTTAAGGGGTATATATGTGCGGAAACCATATTATAAGCCCTAAAGCCCTAAAGCCCTAAAGCCCTAAAGCCCTAAAGCCCTAAAGCCCTAAAGCCCTAAAGCCCTAAAGCCCTGAAGCCCTGAAGCCCTAAAGCCTAAACCCTAAACCCTAAACCCTAAACTTGCAGCTTGCCTTCTACACCAGGGGGTGGGGCCTCAGTCGGCAGTCTCTGCGACAGCTTTGTACACCCCGTGCTACCGGGGGTTGTGCGCCAAAAGAGGAGGGCTTAGAATTTAGGGTTTAGGGTTTAGGGTTTAGGGCTCCCCCCAGATTCTTAGCAGGTATGTCATTATGTACTGTGTAATCCGGGCTCTCTCTCCCATACTGGCAGGTTCATGGCTACTTGTAGGGTTCTCATTACTTACTCTGAATAACAGCTACCCTACTTCTAACCCTACTCACAAATACCTTAAACCCTCAAGCCTAAACCCCAAACCCTAAACCCTACTTCTAAGCAAACCCTTTTCTGAACCTCCAAGTAGGGAGTCCTGGTTAAGGCCTCTTTAAATGAGAGATTGGCGCTGCAACTGGCTTTAACCCAGAAGATCAGCCATTCCGTCGTCCTTCTTCACCAAGGCATCACTGCTGCCCGTGTCGGCTTTCTCTGCTGCCGGCGTTTCGAGTGCAGCGAAGAGGTCGTCTTCAACCACTTTGTCTGCCTCCTGCGCCTGCGCCTCCGCCTGTTTTCGAGCCGCCTCCTCCACCTCCTGGCGGGCCTTCTCCTCGGCCTCCTTCTGTGCTAGTTCCTCCGCTTCCCTGCGGGCCTTCTCCTCTGCCTCCTTGCGGGCCTTCTCCTCGGCCTCCTTCTGGGCCAGTTCCTCCGCTTCCTTGCGGGCCTTCTCCTCGGCCTCCTTCTGGGCCAGCGCCTCCGCTTCCTTGCGGGCCTTCTCCTCGGCCTCCTTCTGTGCCAGTTCCTCCGCTTCCTTGCGGGCCTTCTCCTCGGCCTCCTTCTGGGCCTGCGCCTCCGCTTCCTTGCGGGCCTTCTCCTCGGCCTCCTTTCGGGCCTTCTCCTCGGCCTCCTTCTGGGCTTGTTCCTCCGCTTCCTTGCGGGCTTTGTCCTCAGCCTCCTTGCGGGCCTTCTCCTCGGCCTCCTTCTGCGCCTGCACCTCCGCTTCCTTTTGGGCCTTCTCCTCGGCCTCCTTCTGCGCTAGTGCCTCCGCTTCCTTGCGGGCCTTCTCCTCTGTCTCCTTTCGGGCCTTCTCCTCGGCCTCCTTCTGTTCCCGCGCCTCCGCGTCCTTGCGGGCCTTCTCCTCAGCCTCCTTCTGCGCTAGTGCCTCCGCTTCCTTGCGGGCCTTGTCCTCAGCCTCCTTGCGGGCCTTCTCCTCGGCCTCCTTCTGGGCCTGCGCCTCCGCTTCCTTGCGGGCCTTCTCCTCAGCCTCCCTCTGCGCCTGTTGCTCAGCTCCCTTGCGTGCCTGCTCCTCGGCCTCCTTCTGTGCAAGTTGCTCACCTTCACTCGGGGCAGGCGCTGCAGAAGATGTTGCCGGCACCTGCAGTGCATGAGCTGATAGCTCTTGTCAACCTTCTGCTGACCCAAAAGCCTAAACCCTAGAAAGGGTAGTACAGAGGCGGGTAGTAAGGGAACCCATGATAAACCCTAAGGAGATCTTCGAGGCCCTTTGTCCTGTTTCTCTGAAGGCCTGCATGTAAAGCTCATATTCAAGGCCCCCAAACCCTAAGCCCCAAACCCGAGACCCCAAACCCTAAACCCGAAACCCTAAACCCTAAAGCCCTAAACCCTAAACACGAAACTGTAAACACAACACTACCCAACAAATCATTCAAATCCATGGTCTCTCAGAAGAACCTCAAGAGTATCGTTGCGTGAGCCTCACCCATGGAGGCTACAGCTGGAGGCTGCGCAGGCGCCGCAGGGTAGCCTTCAGCTTGGAGGTTCAGGGTACGTTTAGGGTTTAGGGTTTAGGGTTTAGGGTTTAGGGTTTAGGGTTTAGGGTTTAGGGTTTAGGGCTCTTATACCCAATTAGAAGTGCTGCGATAACCCACTTATCAGCCCCTTAAGTACCGTAATAGGTTTATGATTGGGTTATGAGTACAGTTATAATTGGGTTTCTGAGTGTCAAGGGACAAAAGGGACCTTAGGGGACAATTTCGGGGCTTATTTAGGGGCTACTTAGTATTTTGGGAATATATAAGGCATTTGCAGGGGCAACATAGGGGAAAAAGATTAAGGGTCCCTTCTAGAGGTCCCTCCATATACCCCTTAAGCTTGTCAGGCTGTTTGGTTTGGGGCTTCGGGCAGAAGTAGGGTGGCACCCCGAACAGTCCCTCAACCCTAAACCCGTTCTCAACAGGTTCGTAGGCCCCAGTCTGAGGTAATTTGTACCTGAACTATCACAAACCCTAAACCCTAAACCCTAAACCCTAAACCCTAAACCCTAAAAGTACCCTGAACCTCCAAGTACCAATTTACCAATCGCAGGAGATCAAGGGCCCTTATTCCGGGGTCAATAGTTTGCGCAACCTGGCAGGGATGCATACCTTTTAGGGTTTAGGGGTTTAGGGGTTTAGGGGTTTAGGGGTTTAGGGGTTTAGGGGTTTAGGGTTTAGGGGTTTAGGGGTTTAGGGGTTTAGGGGTTTAGGGGTTTAGGGGTTTAGGGGTTTAGGGGTTTAGGGGTTTAGGGGTTTAGGGGTTTAGGGGTGTAGGGGTTTAGGGGTTTAGGGTTTAAAGCGTTTAGGGTTTCTGGGTCCAGTAAGAACGATGATATACCATTCATGTACATCTCAGGGCTCCGATATGGCCATCCTTCTGTAGCCGCCCTAAGCCCTAAACGCTAAGCCCTAAACCCTACACCCTGAACCCTAAACCCTAAACCCCTCGCCCCCTGGAACCAAGGGGTTTAGGAGTAAGGGTTTAGGGCCAACACACCGAACCCGCTTTCAACCCTCCACTGCACTGGACCCAACTTTACCAGAGCTGGGTCTAGGGTTTAGGCTGTCGGTAGAGTCCTACTTAAGCCAAGAATCAAGCACCTAAGCCTCGAAACAGACCCTAAAGTACTCTGAACCCTGAAGCTTTTCAAGTAGGAGCTCTCAACCATACGCCCGAACCCCCTCATCGACAAACCCTAAACCCCAAACACTAAACCCTAAACCCTAGACCCTAAACCCTAAACCCCGGACCCTAAACCCACCCTTAATCGACCATCTGCCCGGCACCTAGTATTTAGGGTACCCCAAAAAGGGATCATAATTTTGACAGCCACCCATGTGTGCCTGATGACGACGACGAGCCGGAGGCCTGTGCTCTTCTTTTTGGGTCCACGCTTGGGTGCAGCTGCTCTTCAAAAGCCGAAGGTTGGGATGGCGTTTAGGGTTTAGGGTTTGGGGGTTAGGGTTTGGGGTTTGGGGTCTGGGGTTTTGGGATGTTCGCCCTTATACTAACAGTCCTTAATTGGGCCTATGAAACTACCCTCAGATATTTTCGAGCGGCCTCAGAACCCTATGCAATGCTAAACTCCAGTCGGCCAGAATGAGAAACCCACGGCCACACCCGTGGCCACAAGCAAGAATGACACTTCAGTGACATATGCCACAACTTCGATTTCGATACATGCCCAGCAGATGCACGCCAGAAGACATCCCCAACGCCGCCCAACGCCTGCATCCCAGTTTGCAACCCTCAATCCTAAACCCTAAACCCTAAACCATAAACCTGAAACCGCGACAGCCCTGGCGATACTCACGCCCGGGACGGCCTGTTCGATCGGGTTGCCTCGGGCAGGGCTCAGACGGGATGAGGGTTTAGGGTTTAGGGTTTACGGTTTAGGGTTTAGGGTTTAGGGTTTAGGGTGATCCAAAACCTGCCCAAGCCTCAGACCAAGCACACGCTAATCCTTACAAGCAGCAGACACCCCAGAACATCACCAAACCCTAAACCCTAAACCCTAAACCCTAAACCCTAAACCCTAAACCCTAAACCCCAAACCCAAGACCCTAAGGCCTGAACCCTTAACTCCTTAGACCTTGGTTTAAGGTTTTCAGGGCATCTTGGGTGCTGCTCAACAGCGAGTGCGGGAGTGAAAGGAGGTTGAGGGCTTAGGGCTTAGGGCTTAGGGCTTAGGGCTTAGGGCTTAGGGCATAGGGCATAGGGCTTAGGGCTTAGGGTTTAGGGTTTAGGGTTTAGGGTTTAGGGTTTAGGATTTAGGGTTTAGGGCTTAGGGTTTAGGGCTTAGGGTTTAGGGCTTAGGGCTTAGGGCTTAGGGTTTAGGGTTTAGAGATCCGGTGCATTCGCTGAGATATGGCCGTCAGCGACTCTACAGTCATTAACAGACTTCAAGGTTTTATCGCTGGACTTCTAAAGTTCTATCCTAACCTTTGAGCCACATGGCCACTGCTGCTTCCGAAAAAAATGAGCAAATTCTGTACACTCCCAACTCAACATGCGAAAGCCTGCTTCCCAAATCTACTAACTTTGGTGCAAGCTCGCTAAGCAAAACAAAACTCAGGAACACGAGCGAGCAGCTTTTGGCCCCCACCCAACTTAAGGACCAGCACAGCAGCATCAAATTCCCCTTGCTGTTGGCAACAGCTCACAAGCTAGTTGCCGCAGCGGGACCATTCAGCACCAGCGAGACTGGGATGCGACAATGCTTCGCACACTCTACTTAATTCCCGCCTGCACACCTAAACCCTAAACCCTAAATCCTAAACCCCAAACCCTAAACCCGAAGCCCTTAAACCTAACCAGGGTCTTAAGGTTGTAGGTGTCTTGGGTGCCCCCCATCGACCCACTTAGTAGCCCAGGAACCCTATTATAATAAGGGCACCCTTGTTTTGGTTGGGTAGTTTATAAGGGAACCCAGAACCCAAAAAAAGGGTGAAGGGTACCACTGGGCTACCAAGTTACCCGAAACCCTAAACCCTAAACCCTAAACCCTAAACCCTAAACCCTAAACCCTAAACCCTAAACCCTAAACCCTAAACCCTAAACCCTAAACCCTAAACCCTACATAAACCCTAAACCGTAAAGAAGAAGCACTGAGGAGCCAGCCAAGAAAATCCAGGCCTTGCCCCGCGGCCTCGTGGCTCGCAAAGGTCTTTTTTGTTGAGGGTTTAGGGTTTAGGGTTTAGGGTTTAGGGTTTAGGGTTTAGGGTTCAGGGTTTAGGGTTTAGGGTTCAGGGTTTAGGGTTTTTTTTGGCTTTGGGGTGTGCAGGTTTGGGGTTTAGGAACTTAGGGTTTAGGGATTGATACGACATTTGCCAGGCCTTCCACCCCAGCCTAAATGGCTACCACCCCTTCGTGGGCAAAGCATCATCTACACCCTGAACCCTAAACCCTAAACCCCTGGGCAGGGCAAAATTCCAGGCGAGGAGGTAGAAAGATGAATGGGTGCTCAAAAAAATGATGAGAGGACTCCACACCTCGTCTGTAAGATAGGGGCCTTAATGATTGGAATAGGGTTTAGGGTTTGGGGTTTCGGGTCTAGGGATAATATGCTTAAGGAGTACTATATGGAATTATTTCCGACCTCTACATTAACCTGGGAATGCCCACCTCAATTAATCAGCTGGATAAGCGATACTAAGATGGTTCGTTGGCCAGTTCTTGGGTGGAAGGAAAGAACGCCGAGCACAACATGTTGAACTCCAAACCCTAAGCTCTAGCCCTAAACCCTAAACCCTAAACCCTATACCCTAAACCTTAAACCCTAAAGCCTAAACCCTAAACCCTAACCCTAAGCCCTTAATCCCCACAATCCCTAATCCCTAGACTCTCACAGCGGCTGTCCGCCTGGCTAGGACCAGCCGAGCTGGCCGCAGCCGATCTTTCATTCTCCTCCAGCCGAACAAGGACTCACTAGGGGGTTTAGGGTTTAGGATTTAGGGTTTAGGGTTTAGGGGTTTAGGGTAAACCAAACCCTAAACCCTAATTAAGCTCTGAACCCTAAACCCAAAACCCTAAACCCTGAACCCTAAACCCTACAAACCCCAAACCCTAAACCCTAAACCCTGAACCATGAACCCTACAAACCCTAAAGCAGTTCCTCGGTGGCCCTGAGAAGCTGGGTTCAAGGCTTTGGACTTTTCAGGGCGCAGGGCTTAGGGCCCCTCTTTTTTTTCCAAGATCCTGATGACAGAATGATACGGTTGATGGAGGAAATCTTGCACCACTTAATGAATCACAAGTGACACAACACATGAGCATGACCCCGCACCACCTTTGTAATATTGACGATGATGGACACTGAGGTGGTGCACAAGATTTTTGGCATTGGAACCCACGGCACTTTCGAGGATCAACAGTCAATATTAAAAAGGGGGTGCGGGGTCTCTACTTTGCTTGGCCATGTAAAGCGGTGCAAGATTTCCTCCATCAACAGTACCTTACAACGACGACGCCGAAAGCAAGATGTATGATGAGTATACAGTGTTAACTGCATATGGTACCTTTCCACAGTTAACACTCAGTTAACACTCAGTTAACACTCAGTTAACACTCAGTTAACACTCAGTTAACACTACAGCTAACACTACAGTTAACACTACAGTTAACACTACCGAAATGCTGCAAAAACCAGCACTTTGCTGGATACACACATTTAAAAGAAGTAAATTAGTATTTTTACTGTCTTTAACACAAATTTGAGGAAAATGCTGGTTTTTGCAGCATTTCGGTAGTGCTCCCTGTACAAAAGGTGCAGGATACACTGGAGCTCCCTTGGCGGAGAACGACGTTTCATGCCACCAATGGCACCGCTGACGAGGGACTCTGGCAGTTGGTGATGTCTAGTAAATACACAGGCTGCTTTTGTCATGTCAGCAAAAGGATC